ACAACGTACGGATTCGATTGAAAGAAGCTTAACCACTCCATCACCGTGTTCATTGCAACATCTGACCGACCCAACCGTAACAACAGCACAATACACGAGACTCGAACAACAACGAACAAGCCCACGACTCTGTACTGACAAAGAAATCTCGTATCTCTCTCTTGTTTTGTAGGTATGACAAGCACGTTACTGGCGAGCAGATTCAGACTGACTGGTAGATTTATACTGACCGGCGTGGCAGCGCACGAGTTGAAAGAGGGTGACACCCCCGTGGGGCTCGAACCCACGACCACTGGCTTAAAAGGCCAGCGCTCTACCAACTGAGCTAGACGGGTGGTTCCGTGCACACCTTGCAGCAACTTAACAACACCATAGTGGCAACCGTGCGTGGTAAAGACTGTGTGAAGCACGTGCTGCAATACCAGTGCATGTTGCTCAGTGTTCTACGAGTCAGCCTTTACTCGGCTCCTCCGTCCGGGCGGACTCGAATCCACAACGTACGGATTCGATTGATAGAAGCTTAACCACTCCATCACCGTGTTCATTGCAACATCTGACCGACCCAACCGTAACAACAGCACAATACACAAGACTCGAACAACAACGAACAAGCCCACGACTCTGTACTGACAAAGCAATCTCGTATCTCTCTCTTGTTTTGTAGGTATGACAAGCACGTTACTGGCGGGCAGATTCAGACTGACTGGTAGATTTATACTGACCGGCGTGGCAGCGCACGAGTTGAAAGAGGGTGACACCCCCGTGGGGCTCGAACCCACGACCACTGGCTTAAAAGGCCAGCGCTCTACCAACTGAGCTAGACGGGTGGTTCCGTGCACTCCTTGCAGCAACTTAACAACACCATAGTGGCAACCGTGCGTGGTAAAGACTGTGTGAAGCACGTGCTGCAATAGCAGTGCATGTTGCTCAGTGTTCTACGAGTCAGCCTTTACTCGGCTCCTCCGTCCGGGCGGACTCGAATCCACACCGAACGGATTCGATTGAAAGAAGCTTAACCACTCCATCACCGTGTTCATTGCAACATCTGACCGACCCAACCGTAACAACAGCACAATACACAAGACTCGAACAACAACGAACAAGCCCACGACTCTGTACTGACAAAGAAATCTCGTATCTCTCTCTTGTTTTGTAGGTATGACAAGCACGTTACTGGCGAGCAGATTCAGACTGACTGGTAGATTTATACTGACCGGCGTGGCAGCGCACGAGTTGAAAGAGGGTGACACCCCCCGTGGGGCTCCACCCCACGACCACTGGCTTAAAAGGCCAGCGCTCTACCAACTGAGCTAGACGGGTGGTTCCGTGCACTCCTTGCAGCAACTTAACAACACCATAGTGGCAACCGTGCGTGGTAAAGACTGTGTGAAGCACGTGCTGCAATAGCAGTGCATGTTGCTCAGTGTTCTACGAGTCAGCCTTTACTCGGCTCCTCCGTCCGGGCGGACTCGAATCCACACCGAACGGATTCGATTGAAAGAAGCTTAACCACTCCATCACCGTGTTCATTGCAACATCTGACCGACCCAACCGTAACAACAGCACAATACGCGCGACTCGAACAACAACGAACAAGCCCACGACTCTGTACTGACAAAGAAATCTCGTATCTCTCTCTTGTTTTGTAGGTATGACAAGCACGTTACTGGCGAGCAGATTCAGACTGACTGGTAGATTTATACTGACCGGCGTGGCAGCGCACGAGTTGAAAGAGGGTGACACCCCCCGTGGGGCTCGAACCCACGACCACTGGCTTAAAAGGCCAGCGCTCTACCAACTGAGCTAGACGGGTGGTTCCGTGCACTCCTTGCAGCAACTTAACAACACCATAGTGGCAACCGTGCGTGGTAAAGACTGTGTGAAGCACGTGCTGCAATAGCAGTGCATGTTGCTCAGTGTTCTACGAGTCAGCCTTTACTCGGCTCCTCCGTCCGGGCGGACTCGAATCCACAACGTACGGATTCGATTGATAGAAGCTTAACCACTCCATCACCGTGTTCATTGCAACATCTGACCGACCCAACCGTAACAACAGCACAATACGCGCGACTCGAACAACAACGAACAAGCCCACGACTCTGTACTGACAAAGAAATCTCGTATCTCTCTCTTGTTTTGTAGGTATGACAAGCACGTTACTGGCGAGCAGATTCAGACTGACTGGTAGATTTATACTGACCGGCGTGGCAGCGCACGAGTTGAAAGAGGGTGACACCCCCCGTGGGGCTCGAACCCACGACCACTGGCTTAAAAGGCCAGCGCTCTACCAACTGAGCTAGACGGGTGGTTCCGTGCACTCCTTGCAGCAACTTAACAACACCATAGTGGCAACCGTGCGTGGTAAAGACTGTGTGAAGCACGTGCTGCAATAGCAGTGCATGTTGCTCAGTGTTCTACGAGTCAGCCTTTACTCGGCTCCTCCGTCCGGGCGGACTCGAATCCACACCGTACGGATTCGATTGAAAGAAGCTTAACCACTCCATCACCGTGTTCATTGCAACATCTGACCGACCCAACCGTAACAACAGCACAATACACAAGACTCGAACAACAACGAACAAGCCCACGACTCTGTACTGACAAAGAAATCATCGTATCTCTCTCTTGTTTTGTAGGTATGACAAGCACGTTACTGGCGAGCAGATTCAGACTGACTGGTAGATTTATACTGACCGGCGTGGCAGCGCACGAGTTGAAAGAGGGTGACACCCCCCGTGGGGCTCGAACCCACGACCACTGGCTTAAAAGGCCAGCGCTCTACCAACTGAGCTAGACGGGTGGTTCCGTGCACTCCTTGCAGCAACTTAACAACACCATAGTGGCAACCGTGCGTGGTAAAGACTGTGTGAAGCACGTGCTGCAATAGCAGTGCATGTTGCTCAGTGTTCTACGAGTCAGCCTTTACTCGGCTCCTCCGTCCGGGCGGACTCGAATCCACAACGTACGGATTCGATTGAAAGAAGCTTAACCACTCCATCACCGTGTTCATTGCAACATCTGACCGACCCAACCGTAACAACAGCACAATACACAAGACTCGAACAACAACGAACAAGCCCACGACTCTGTACTGACAAAGAAATCTCGTATCTCTCTCTTGTTTTGTAGGTATGACAAGCACGTTACTGGCGAGCAGATTCAGACTGACTGGTAGATTTATACTGACCGGCGTGGCAGCGCACGAGTTGAAAGAGGGTGACACCCCCCGTGGGGCTCGAACCCACGACCACTGGCTTAAAAGGCCAGCGCTCTACCAACTGAGCTAGACGGGTGGTTCCGTGCACACCTTGCAGCAACTTAACAAGACCATAGTGGCAACCGTGCGTGGTAAAGACTGTGTGAAGCACGTGCTGCAATAGCAGTGCATGTTGCTCAGTGTTCTACGAGTCAGCCTTTACTCGGCTCCTCCGTCCGGGCGGACTCGAATCCACACCGAACGGATTCGATTGAAAGAAGCTTAACCACTCCATCACCGTGTTCATTGCAACATCTGACCGACCCAACCGTAACAACAGCACAATACACAAGACTCGAACAACAACGAACAAGCCCACGACTCTGTACTGACAAAGCAACATCGTGTCTCTCTCTTGTTTTGTAGGTATGACAAGCACGTTACTGGCGGGCAGATTCAGACTGACTGGTAGATTTATACTGACCGGCGTGGCAGCGCATGAGTTGAAAGAGGGTGACACCCCCCGTGGGGCTCGAACCCACGACCACTGGCTTAAAAGGCCAGCGCTCTACCAACTGAGCTAGACGGGTGGTTCCGTGCACTCCTTGCAGCAACTTAACAACACCATAGTGGCAACCGTGCGTGGTAAAGACTGTGTGAAGCACGTGCTGCAATAGCAGTGCATGTTGCTCAGTGTTCTACGAGTCAGCCTTTACTCGGCTCCTCCGTCCGGGCGGACTCGAATCCACACCGAACGGATTCGATTGAAAGAAGCTTAACCACTCCATCACCGTGTTCATTGCAACATCTGACCGACCCAACCGTAACAACAGCACAATACACAAGACTCGAACAACAACGAACAAGCCCACGACTCTGTACTGACAAAGAAATCTCGTATCTCTCTCTTGTTTTGTAGGTATGACAAGCACGTTACTGGCGGAGCAGATTCAGACTGACTGGTAGATTTATACTGACCGGCGTGGCAGCGCACGAGTTGAAAGAGGGTGACACCCCCCGTGGGGCTCGAACCCACGACCACTGGCTTAAAAGGCCAGCGCTCTACCAACTGAGCTAGACGGGTGGTTCCGTGCACACCTTGCAGCAACTTAACAACACCATAGTGGCAACCGTGCGTGGTAAAGACTGTGTGAAGCACGTGCTGCAATAGCAGTGCATGTTGCTCAGTGTTCTACGAGTCAGCCTTTACTCGGCTCCTCCGTCCGGGCGGACTCGAATCCACACCGAACGGATTCGATTGAAAGAAGCTTAACCACTCCATCACCGTGTTCATTGCAACATCTGACCGACCCAACCGTAACAACAGCACAATACACCCGACTCGAACAACAACGAACAAGCCCACGACTCTGTACTGACAAAGCAACATCGTGTCTCTCTCTTGTTTTGTAGGTATGACAAGCACGTTACTGGCGGGCAGATTCAGACTGACTGGTAGATTTATACTGACCGGCGTGGCAGCGCACGAGTTGAAAGAGGGTGACACCCCCCGTGGGGCTCGAACCCACGACCACTGGCTTAAAAGGCCAGCGCTCTACCAACTGAGCTAGACGGGTGGTTCCGTGCACTCCTTGCAGCAACTTAACAACACTATACTGGCAACCGTGCGTGGTAAAGACTGTGTGAAGCACGTGCTGCAATAGCAGTGCATGTTGCTCAGTGTTCTACGAGTCAGCCTTTACTCGGCTCCTCCGTCCGGGCGGACTCGAATCCACAACGTACGGATTCGATTGATAGAAGCTTAACCACTCCATCACCGTGTTCATTGCAACATCTGACCGACCCAACCGTAACAACAGCACAATACACGCGACTCGAACAACAACGAACAAGCCCACGACTCTGTACTGACAAAGCAATCATCGTATCTCTCTCTTGTTTTGTAGGTATGACAAGCACGTTACTGGCGAGCAGATTCAGACTGACTGGTAGATTTATACTGACCGGCGTGGCAGCGCACGAGTTGAAAGAGGGTGACACCCCCCGTGGGGCTCGAACCCACGACCACTGGCTTAAAAGGCCAGCGCTCTACCAACTGAGCTAGACGGGTGGTTCCGTGCACTCCTTGCAGCAACTTAACAACACCATAGTGGCAACCGTGCGTGGTAAAGACTGTGTGAAGCACGTGCTGCAATACCAGTGCATGTTGCTCAGTGTTCTACGAGTCAGCCTTTACTCGGCTCCTCCGTCCGGGCGGACTCGAATCCACAACGTACGGATTCGATTGATAGAAGCTTAACCACTCCATCACCGTGTTCATTGCAACATCTGACCGACCCAACCGTAACAACAGCACAATACACGCGACTCGAACAACAACGAACAAGCCCACGACTCTGTACTGACAAAGCAACCTCGTATCTCTCTCTTGTTTTGTAGGTATGACAAGCACGTTACTGGCGGGCAGATTCAGACTGACTGGTAGATTTATACTGACCGGCGTGGCAGCGCACGAGTTGAAAGAGGGTGACACCCCCGTGGGGCTCGAACCCACGACCACTGGCTTAAAAGGCCAGCGCTCTACCAACTGAGCTAGACGGGTGGTTCCGTGCACTCCTTGCAGCAACTTAACAACACTATAGTGGCAACCGTGCGTGGTAAAGACTGTGTGAAGCACGTGCTGCAATACCAGTGCATGTTGCTCAGTGTTCTACGAGTCAGCCTTTACTCGGCTCCTCCGTCCGGGCGGACTCGAATCCACAACGTACGGATTCGATTGAAAGAAGCTTAACCACTCCATCACCGTGTTCATTGCAACATCTGACCGACCCAACCGTAACAACAGCACAATACACGCGACTCGAACAACAACGAACAAGCCCACGACTCTGTACTGACAAAGCAATATCGTGTCTCTCTCTTGTTTTGTAGGTATGACAAGCACGTTACTGGCGGGCAGATTCAGACTGACTGGTAGATTTATACTGACCGGCGTGGCAGCGCACGAGTTGAAAGAGGGTGACACCCCCGTGGGGCTCGAACCCACGACCACTGGCTTAAAAGGCCAGCGCTCTACCAACTGAGCTAGACGGGTGGTTCCGTGCACACCTTGCAGCAACTTAACAACACCATAGTGGCAACCGTGCGTGGTAAAGACTGTGTGAAGCACGTGCTGCAATAGCAGTGCATGTTGCTCAGTGTTCTACGAGTCAGCCTTTACTCGGCTCCTCCGTCCGGGCGGACTCGAATCCACACCGAACGGATTCGATTGAAAGAAGCTTAACCACTCCATCACCGTGTTCATTGCAACATCTGACCGACCCAACCGTAACAACAGCACAATACGCGCGACTCGAACAACAACGAACAAGCCCACGACTCTGTACTGACAAAGCAACATCGTGTCTCTCTCTTGTTTTGTAGGTATGACAAGCACGTTACTGGCGGGCAGATTCAGACTGACTGGTAGATTTATACTGACCGGCGTGGCAGCGCACGAGTTGAAAGAGGGTGACACCCCCCGTGGGGCTCGAACCCACGACCACTGGCTTAAAAGGCCAGCGCTCTACCAACTGAGCTAGACGGGTGGTTCCGTGCACTCCTTGCAGCAACTTAACAACACCATAGTGGCAACCGTGCGTGGTAAAGACTGTGTGAAGCACGTGCTGCAGTACCAGTGCATGTTGCTCAGTGTTCTACGAGTCAGCCTTTACTCGGCTCCTCCGTCCGGGCGGACTCGAATCCACACCGAACGGATTCGATTGAAAGAAGCTTAACCACTCCATCACCGTGTTCATTGCAACATCTGACCGACCCAACCGTAACAACAGCACAATACACAAGACTCGAACAACAACGAACAAGCCCACGACTCTGTACTGACAAAGAAATCTCGTATCTCTCTCTTGTTTTGTAGGTATGACAAGCACGTTACTGGCGAGCAGATTCAGACTGACTGGTAGATTTATACTGACCGGCGTGGCAGCGCACGAGTTGAAAGAGGGTGACACCCCCCGTGGGGCTCGAACCCACGACCACTGGCTTAAAAGGCCAGCGCTCTACCAACTGAGCTAGACGGGTGGTTCCGTGCACTCCTTGCAGCAACTTAACAACACCATAGTGGCAACCGTGCGTGGTAAAGACTGTGTGAAGCACGTGCTGCAATACCAGTGCATGTTGCTCAGTGTTCTACGAGTCAGCCTTTACTCGGCTCCTCCGTCCGGGCGGACTCGAATCCACAACGTACGGATTCGATTGAAAGAAGCTTAACCACTCCATCACCGTGTTCATTGCAACATCTGACCGACCCAACCGTAACAACAGCACAATACACGCGACTCGAACAACAACGAACAAGCCCACGACTCTGTACTGACAAAGCAATATCGTATCTCTCTCTTGTTTTGTAGGTATGACAAGCACGTTACTGGCGGGCAGATTCAGACTGACTGGTAGATTTATACTGACCGGCGTGGCAGCGCACGAGTTGAAAGAGGGTGACACCCCCCGTGGGGCTCGAACCCACGACCACTGGCTTAAAAGGCCAGCGCTCTACCAACTGAGCTAGACGGGTGGTTCCGTGCACTCCTTGCAGCAACTTAACAACACTATACTGGCAACCGTGCGTGGTAAAGACTGTGTGAAGCACGTGCTGCAATACCAGTGCATGTTGCTCAGTGTTCTACGAGTCAGCCTTTACTCGGCTCCTCCGTCCGGGCGGACTCGAACCCACAACGTACGGATTCGATTGACAGAAGCTTAACCACTCCATCACCGTGTTCATTGCAACATCTGACCGACCCAACCGTAACAACAGCACAATACGCGCGACTCGAACAACAACGAACAAGCCCACGACTCTGTACTGACAAAGCAATATCGTATCTCTCTCTTGTTTTGTAGGTATGACAAGCACGTTACTGGCGGGCAGATTCAGACTGACTGGTAGATTTATACTGACCGGCGTGGCAGCGCACGAGTTGAAAGAGGGTGACACCCCCGTGGGGCTCGAACCCACGACCACTGGCTTAAAAGGCCAGCGCTCTACCAACTGAGCTAGACGGGTGGTTCCGTGCACTCCTTGCAGCAACTTAACAACACCATAGTGGCAACCGTGCGTGGTAAAGACTGTGTGAAGCACGTGCTGCAATACCAGTGCATGTTGCTCAGTGTTCTACGAGTCAGCCTTTACTCGGCTCCTCCGTCCGGGCGGACTCGAATCCACAACGTACGGATTCGATTGAAAGAAGCTTAACCACTCCATCACCGTGTTCATTGCAACATCTGACCGACCCAACCGTAACAACAGCACAATACACAAGACTCGAACAACAACGAACAAGCCCACGACTCTGTACTGACAAAGCAACATCGTGTCTCTCTCTTGTTTTGTAGGTATGACAAGCACGTTACTGGCGGGCAGATTCAGACTGACTGGTAGATTTATACTGACCGGCGTGGCAGCGCACGAGTTGAAAGAGGGTGACACCCCCCGTGGGGCTCGAACCCACGACCACTGGCTTAAAAGGCCAGCGCTCTACCAACTGAGCTAGACGGGTGGTTCCGTGCACTCCTTGCAGCAACTTAACAACACCATAGTGGCAACCGTGCGTGGTAAAGACTGTGTGAAGCACGTGCTGCAATACCAGTGCATGTTGCTCAGTGTTCTACGAGTCAGCCTTTACTCGGCTCCTCCGCTCCGGGCGGACTCGAACCCACAACGTACGGATTCGATTGATAGAAGCTTAACCACTCCATCACCGTGTTCATTGCAACATCTGACCGACCCAACCGTAACAACAGCACAATACACGCGACTCGAACAACAACGAACAAGCCCACGACTCTGTACTGACAAAGCAATCTCGTGTATCTCTCTCTTGTTTTGTAGGTATGACAAGCACGTTACTGGCGGGCAGATTCAGACTGACTGGTAGATTTATACTGACCGGCGTGGCAGCGCACGAGTTGAAAGAGGGTGACACCCCCGTGGGGCTCGAACCCACGACCACTGGCTTAAAAGGCCAGCGCTCTACCAACTGAGCTAGACGGGTGGTTCCGTGCACACCTTGCAGCAACTTAACAACACCATAGTGGCAACCGTGCGTGGTAAAGACTGTGTGAAGCACGTGCTGCAATACCAGTGCATGTTGCTCAGTGTTCTACGAGTCAGCCTTTACTCGGCTCCTCCGTCCGGGCGGACTCGAATCCACAACGTACGGATTCGATTGAAAGAAGCTTAACCACTCCATCACCGTGTTCATTGCAACATCTGACCGACCCAACCGTAACAACAGCACAATACGCGCGACTCGAACAACAACGAACAAGCCCACGACTCTGTACTGACAAAGCAACATCGTGTCTCTCTCTTGTTTTGTAGGTATGACAAGCACGTTACTGGCGGGCAGATTCAGACTGACTGGTAGATTTATACTGACCGGCGTGGCAGCGCACGAGTTGAAAGAGGGTGACACCCCCCGTGGGGCTCCACCCCACGACCACTGGCTTAAAAGGCCAGCGCTCTACCAACTGAGCTAGACGGGTGGTTCCGTGCACTCCTTGCAGCAACTTAACAACACCATAGTGGCAACCGTGCGTGGTAAAGACTGTGTGAAGCACGTGCTGCAATACCAGTGCATGTTGCTCAGTGTTCTACGAGTCAGCCTTTACTCGGCTCCTCCGTCCGGGCGGACTCGAATCCACAACGTACGGATTCGATTGAAAGAAGCTTAACCACTCCATCACCGTGTTCATTGCAACATCTGACCGACCCAACCGTAACAACAGCACAATACACGAGACTCGAACAACAACGAACAAGCCCACGACTCTGTACTGACAAAGCAATATCGTATCTCTCTCTTGTTTTGTAGGTATGACAAGCACGTTACTGGCGGGCAGATTCAGACTGACTGGTAGATTTATACTGACCGGCGTGGCAGCGCACGAGTTGAAAGAGGGTGACACCCCCCGTGGGGCTCGAACCCACGACCACTGGCTTAAAAGGCCAGCGCTCTACCAACTGAGCTAGACGGGTGGTTCCGTGCACTCCTTGCAGCAACTTAACAAGACCATAGTGGCAACCGTGCGTGGTAAAGACTGTGTGAAGCACGTGCTGCAATAGCAGTGCATGTTGCTCAGTGTTCTACGAGTCAGCCTTTACTCGGCTCCTCCGTCCGGGCGGACTCGAATCCACACCGAACGGATTCGATTGAAAGAAGCTTAACCACTCCATCACCGTGTTCATTGCAACATCTGACCGACCCAACCGTAACAACAGCACAATACACAAGACTCGAACAACAACGAACAAGCCCACGACTCTGTACTGACAAAGCAACATCGTGTCTCTCTCTTGTTTTGTAGGTATGACAAGCACGTTACTGGCGGGCAGATTCAGACTGACTGGTAGATTTATACTGACCGGCGTGGCAGCGCACGAGTTGAAAGAGGGTGACACCCCCCGTGGGGCTCAAACCCACGACCACTGGCTTAAAAGGCCAGCGCTCTACCAACTGAGCTAGACGGGTGGTTCCGTGCACACCTTGCAGCAACTTAACAACACCATAGTGGCAACCGTGCGTGGTAAAGACTGTGTGAAGCACGTGCTGCAATACCAGTGCATGTTGCTCAGTGTTCTACGAGTCAGCCTTTACTCGGCTCCTCCGTCCGGGCGGACTCGAATCCACAACGTACGGATTCGATTGATAGAAGCTTAACCACTCCATCACCGTGTTCATTGCAACATCTGACCGACCCAACCGTAACAACAGCACAATACACGCGACTCGAACAACAACGAACAAGCCCACGACTCTGTACTGACAAAGCAACATCGTATCTCTCTCTTGTTTTGTAGGTATGACAAGCACGTTACTGGCGGGCAGATTCAGACTGACTGGTAGATTTATACTGACCGGCGTGGCAGCGCACGAGTTGAAAAGAGGGTGACACCCCCCGTGGGGCTCGAACCCACGACCACTGGCTTAAAAGGCCAGCGCTCTACCAACTGAGCTAGACGGGTGGTTCCGTGCACTCCTTGCAGCAACTTAACAACACTATAGTGGCAACCGTGCGTGGTAAAGACTGTGTGAAGCACGTGCTGCAATACCAGTGCATGTTGCTCAGTGTTCTACGAGTCAGCCTTTACTCGGCTCCTCCGTCCGGGCGGACTCGAATCCACAACGTACGGATTCGATTGAAAGAAGCTTAACCACTCCATCACCGTGTTCATTGCAACATCTGACCGACCCAACCGTAACAACAGCACAATACACGCGACTCGAACAACAACGAACAAGCCCACGACTCTGTGCTGACAAAGCAATCTCGTAACTCTCTCTTGTTTTGTAGGTATGACAAGCACGTTACTGGCGGGCAGATTCAGACTGACTGGTAGATTTATACTGACCGGCGTGGCAGCGCACGAGTTGAAAGAGGGTGACACCCCCCGTGGGGCTCGAACCTACGACCACTGGCTTAAAAGGCCAGCGCTCTACCAACTGAGCTAGACGGGTGGTTCCGTGCACTCCTTGCAGCAACTTAACAACACCATAGTGGCAACCGTGCGTGGTAAAGACTGTGTGAAGCACGTGCTGCAATACCAGTGCATGTTGCTCAGTGTTCTACGAGTCAGCCTTTACTCGGCTCCTCCGTCCGGGCGGACTCGAATCCACACCGTACGGATTCGATTGAAAGAAGCTTAACCACTCCATCACCGTGTTCATTGCAACATCTGACCGACCCAACCGTAACAACAGCACAATACACACGACTCGAACAACAACGAACAAGCCCACGACTCTGTACTGACAAAGCAATCATCGTATCTCTCTCTTGTTTTGTAGGTATGACAAGCACGTTACTGGCGGGCAGATTCAGACTGACTGGTAGATTTATACTGACCGGCGTGGCAGCGCACGAGTTGAAAGAGGGTGACACCCCCCGTGGGGCTCGAACCCACGACCACTGGCTTAAAAGGCCAGCGCTCTACCAACTGAGCTAGACGGGTGGTTCCGTGCACACCTTGCAGCAACTTAACAACACCATAGTGGCAACCGTGCGTGGTAAAGACTGTGTGAAGCACGTGCTGCAGTACCAGTGCATGTTGCTCAGTGTTCTACGAGTCAGCCTTTACTCGGCTCCTCCGTCCGGGCGGACTCGAATCCACACCGAACGGATTCGATTGAAAGAAGCTTAACCACTCCATCACCGTGTTCATTGCAACATCTGACCGACCCAACCGTAACAACAGCACAATACACAAAACTCGAACAACAACGAACAAGCCCACGACTCTGTACTGACAAAGCAACATCGTATCTCTCTCTTGTTTTGTAGGTATGACAAGCACGTTACTGGCGAGCAGATTCAGACTGACTGGTAGATTTATACTGACCGGCGTGGCAGCGCACGAGTTGAAAGAGGGTGACACCCCCCGTGGGGCTCGAACCCACGACCACTGGCTTAAAAGGCCAGCGCTCTACCAACTGAGCTAGACGGGTGGTTCCGTGCACACCTTGCAGCAACTTAACAACACCATAGTGGCAACCGTGCGTGGTAAAGACTGTGTGAAGCACGTGCTGCAATAGCAGTGCATGTTGCTCAGTGTTCTACGAGTCAGCCTTTACTCGGCTCCTCCGTCCGGGCGGACTCGAATCCACACCGAACGGATTCGATTGAAAGAAGCTTAACCACTCCATCACCGTGTTCATTGCAACATCTGACCGACCCAACCGTAACAACAGCACAATACACACGACTCGAACAACAACGAACAAGCCCACGACTCTGTACTGACAAAGCAAATCTCGTATCTCTCTCTTGTTTTGTAGGTATGACAAGCACGTTACTGGCGGGCAGATTCAGACTGACTGGTAGATTTATACTGACCGGCGTGGCAGCGCACGAGTTGAAAGAGGGTGACACCCCCCGTGGGGCTCGAACCCACGACCACTGGCTTAAAAGGCCAGCGCTCTACCAACTGAGCTAGACGGGTGGTTCCGTGCACACCTTGCAGCAACTTAACAACACCATAGTGGCAACCGTGCGTGGTAAAGACTGTGTGAAGCACGTGCTGCAGTACCAGTGCATGTTGCTCAGTGTTCTACGAGTCAGCCTTTACTCGGCTCCTCCGTCCGGGCGGACTCGAATCCACACCGTACGGATTCGATTGAAAGAAGCTTAACCACTCCATCACCGTGTTCATTGCAACATCTGACCGACCCAACCGTAACAACAGCACAATACACACGACTCGAACAACAACGAACAAGCCCACGACTCTGTACTGACAAAGCAATCATCGTATCTCTCTCTTGTTTTGTAGGTATGACAAGCACGTTACTGGCGGGCAGATTCAGACTGACTGGTAGATTTATACTGACCGGCGTGGCAGCGCACGAGTTGAAAGAGGGTGACACTCCCCGTGGGGCTCAACCCACGACCACTGGCTTAAAAGGCCAGCGCTCTACCAACTGAGCTAGACGGGTGGTTCCGTGCACACCTTGCAGCAACTTAACAACACCATAGTGGCAACCGTGCGTGGTAAAGACTGTGTGAAGCACGTGCTGCAATAGCAGTGCATGTTGCTCAGTGTTCTACGAGTCAGCCTTTACTCGGCTCCTCCGTCCGGGCGGACTCGAATCCACACCGAACGGATTCGATTGAAAGAAGCTTAACCACTCCATCACCGTGTTCATTGCAACATCTGACCGACCCAACCGTAACAACAGCACAATACACGCGACTCGAACAACAACGAACAAGCCCACGACTCTGTACTGACAAAGAAATCTCGTATCTCTCTCTTGTTTTGTAGGTATGACAAGCACGTTACTGGCGAGCAGATTCAGACTGACTGGTAGATTTATACTGACCGGCGTGGCAGCGCACGAGTTGAAAGAGGGTGACACCCCCCGTGGGGCTCCACCCCACGACCACTGGCTTAAAAGGCCAGCGCTCTACCAACTGAGCTAGACGGGTGGTTCCGTGCACACCTTGCAGCAACTTAACAAGACCATAGTGGCAACCGTGCGTGGTAAAGACTGTGTGAAGCACGTGCTGCAATAGCAGTGCATGTTGCTCAGTGTTCTACGAGTCAGCCTTTACTCGGCTCCTCCGTCCGGGCGGACTCGAATCCACACCGAACGGATTCGATTGAAAGAAGCTTAACCACTCCATCACCGTGTTCATTGCAACATCTGACCGACCCAACCGTAACAACAGCACAATACACAAGACTCGAACAACAACGAACAAGCCCACGACTCTGTACTGACAAAGCAACATCGTGTCTCTCTCTTGTTTTGTAGGTATGACAAGCACGTTACTGGCGGGCAGATTCAGACTGACTGGTAGATTTATACTGACCGGCGTGGCAGCGCACGAGTTGAAAGAGGGTGACACCCCCCGTGGGGCTCGAACCCACGACCACTGGCTTAAAAGGCCAGCGCTCTACCAACTGAGCTAGACGGGTGGTTCCGTGCACACCTTGCAGCAACTTAACAACACCATAGTGGCAACCGTGCGTGGTAAAGACTGTGTGAAGCACGTGCTGCAATAGCAGTGCATGTTGCTCAGTGTTCTACGAGTCAGCCTTTACTCGGCTCCTCCGTCCGGGCGGACTCGAACCCACAACGTACGGATTCGATTGATAGAAGCTTAACCACTCCATCACCGTGTTCATTGCAACATCTGACCGACCCAACCGTAACAACAGCATAATACGCGCGACTCGAACAACAACGAACAAGCCCACGACTCTGTGCTGACAAAGCAATCTCGTGTCTCTCTCTTGTTTTGTAGGTATGACAAGCACGTTACTGGCGAGCAGATTCAGACTGACTGGTAGATTTATACTGACCGGCGTGGCAGCGCACGAGTTGAAAGAGGGTGACACCCCCCGTGGGGCTCGAACCCACGACCACTGGCTTAAAAGGCCAGCGCTCTACCAACTGAGCTAGACGGGTGGTTCCGTGCACACCTTGCAGCAACTTAACAACACCATAGTGGCAACCGTGCGTGGTAAAGACTGTGTGAAGCACGTGCTGCAATAGCAGTGCATGTTGCTCAGTGTTCTACGAGTCAGCCTTTACTCGGCTCCTCCGTCCGGGCGGACTCGAATCCACACCGAACGGATTCGATTGAAAGAAGCTTAACCACTCCATCACCGTGTTCATTGCAACATCTGACCGACCCAACCGTAACAACAGCACAATACGCGCGACTCGAACAACAACGAACAAGCCCACGACTCTGTACTGACAAAGCAATCATCGTATCTCTCTCTTGTTTTGTAGGTATGACAAGCACGTTACTGGCGAGCAGATTCAGACTGACTGGTAGATTTATACTGACCGGCGTGGCAGCGCACGAGTTGAAAGAGGGTGACACCCCCCGTGGGGGGCTCGAACCCACGACCACTGGCTTAAAAGGCCAGCGCTCTACCAACTGAGCTAGACGGGTGGTTCCGTGCACACCTTGCAGCAACTTAACAACACCATAGTGGCAACCGTGCGTGGTAAAGACTGTGTGAAGCACGTGCTGCAATAGCAGTGCATGTTGCTCAGTGTTCTACGAGTCAGCCTTTACTCGGCTCCTCCGTCCGGGCGGACTCGAATCCACACCGAACGGATTCGATTGAAAGAAGCTTAACCACTCCATCACCGTGTTCATTGCAACATCTGACCGACCCAACCGTAACAACAGCACAATACACAAGACTCGAACAACAACGAACAAGCCCACGACTCTGTACTGACAAAGCAACATCGTGTCTCTCTCTTGTTTTGTAGGTATGACAAGCACGTTACTGGCGGGCAGATTCAGACTGACTGGTAGATTTATACTGACCGGCGTGGCAGCGCACGAGTTGAAAGAGGGTGACACCCCCCGTGGGGCTCGAACCCACGACCACTGGCTTAAAAGGCCAGCGCTCTACCAACTGAGCTAGACGGGTGGTTCCGTGCACACCTTGCAGCAACTTAACAACACCATAGTGGCAACCGTGCGTGGTAAAGACTGTGTGAAGCACGTGCTGCAATAGCAGTGCATGTTGCTCAGTGTTCTACGAGTCAGCCTTTACTCGGCTCCTCCGTCCGGGCGGACTCGAATCCACACCGAACGGATTCGATTGAAAGAAGCTTAACCACTCCATCACCGTGTTCATTGCAACATCTGACCGACCCAACCGTAACAACAGCACAATACACAAGACTCGAACAACAACGAACAAGCCCACGACTCTGTACTGACAAAGCAACATCGTGTCTCTCTCTTGTTTTGTAGGTATGACAAGCACGTTACTGGCGGGCAGATTCAGACTGACTGGTAGATTTATACTGACCGGCGTGGCAGCGCACGAGTTGAAAGAGGGTGACACCCCCCGTGGGGCTCCACCCCACGACCACTGGCTTAAAAGGCCAGCGCTCTACCAACTGAGCTAGACGGGTGGTTCCGTGCACACCTTGCAGCAACTTAACAAGACCATAGTGGCAACCGTGCGTGGTAAAGACTGTGTGAAGCACGTGCTGCAATAGCAGTGCATGTTGCTCAGTGTTCTACGAGTCAGCCTTTACTCGGCTCCTCCGTCCGGGCGGACTCGAATCCACAACCGAACGGATTCGATTGAAAGAAGCTTAACCACTCCATCACCGTGTTCATTGCAACATCTGACCGACCCAACCGTAACAACAGCACAATACACAAGACTCGAACAACAACGAACAAGCCCACGACTCTGTACTGACAAAGCAAATCTCGTATCTCTCTCTTGTTTTGTAGGTATGACAAGCACGTTACTGGCGGGCAGATTCAGACTGACTGGTAGATTTATACTGACCGGCGTGGCAGCGCACGAGTTGAAAGAGGGTGACACCCCCCGTGGGGCTCGAACCCACGACCACTGGCTTAAAAGGCCAGCGCTCTACCAACTGAGCTAGACGGGTGGTTCCGTGCACACCTTGCAGCAACTTAACAACACCATAGTGGCAACCGTGCGTGGTAAAGACTGTGTGAAGCACGTGCTGCAATAGCAGTGCATGTTGCTCAGTGTTCTACGAGTCAGCCTTTACTCGGCTCCTCCGCCCAGACGGACTCGAATCCACACCGAACGGATTCGATTGAAAGAAGCTTAACCACTCCATCACCGTGTTCATTGCAACATCTGACCGACCCAACCGTAACAACAGCACAATACGCGCGACTCGAACAACAACGAACAAGCCCACGACTCTGTACTGACAAAGCAACATCGTGTCTCTCTCTTGTTTTGTAGGTATGACAAGCACGTTACTGGCGGGCAGATTCAGACTGACTGGTAGATTTATACTGACCGGCGTGGCAGCGCACGAGTTGAAAGAGGGTGACACCCCCCGTGGGGCTCGAACCCACGACCACTGGCTTAAAAGGCCAGCGCTCTACCAACTGAGCTAGACGGGTGGTTCCGTGCACACCTTGCAGCAACTTAACAACACCATAGTGGCAACCGTGCGTGGTAAAGACTGTGTGAAGCACGTGCTGCAATAGCAGTGCATGTTGCTCAGTGTTCTACGAGTCAGCCTTTACTCGGCTCCTCCGTCCGGGCGGACTCGAATCCACACCGAACGGATTCGATTGAAAGAAGCTTAACCACTCCATCACCGTGTTCATTGCAACATCTGACCGACCCAACCGTAACAACAGCACAATACACAAGACTCGAACAACAACGAACAAGCCCACGACTCTGTACTGACAAAGCAACATCGTGTCTCTCTCTTGTTTTGTAGGTATGACAAGCACGTTACTGGCGGGCAGATTCAGACTGACTGGTAGATTTATACTGACCGGCGTGGCAGCGCACGAGTTGAAAGAGGGTGACACCCCCCGTGGGGCTCGAACCCACGACCACTGGCTTAAAAGGCCAGCGCTCTACCAACTGAGCTAGACGGGTGGTTCCGTGCACACCTTGCAGCAACTTAACAACACCATAGTGGCAACCGTGCGTGGTAAAGACTGTGTGAAGCACGTGCTGCAATAGCAGTGCATGTTGCTCAGTGTTCTACGAGTCAGCCTTTACTCGGCTCCTCCGTCCGGGCGGACTCGAATCCACACCGAACGGATTCGATTGAAAGAAGCTTAACCACTCCATCACCGTGTTCATTGCAACATCTGACCGACCCAACCGTAACAACAGCACAATACACAAGACTCGAACAACAACGAACAAGCCCACGACTCTGTACTGACAAAGCAATCATCGTGTCTCTCTCTTGTTTTGTAGGTATGACAAGCACGTTACTGGCGGGCAGATTCAGACTGACTGGTAGATTTATACTGACCGGCGTGGCAGCGCACGAGTTGAAAGAGGGTGACACCCCCCGTGGGGCTCGAACCCACGACCACTGGCTTAAAAGGCCAGCGCTCTACCAACTGAGCTAGACGGGTGGTTCCGTGCACACCTTGCAGCAACTTAACAAGACCATAGTGGCAACCGTGCGTGGTAAAGACTGTGTGAAGCACGTGCTGCAATAGCAGTGCATGTTGCTCAGTGTTCTACGAGTCAGCCTTTACTCGGCTCCTCCGTCCGGGCGGACTCGAATCCACACCGAACGGATTCGATTGAAAGAAGCTTAACCACTCCATCACCGTGTTCATTGCAACATCTGACCGACCCAACCGTAACAACAGCACAATACATAAAACTCGAACAACAACGAACAAGCCCACGACTCTGTACTGACAAAGCAACATCGTGTCTCTCTCTTGTTTTGTAGGTATGACAAGCACGTTACTGGCGGGCAGATTCAGACTGACTGGTAGATTTATACTGACCGGCGTGGCAGCGCACGAGTTGAAAGAGGGTGACACCCCCCGTGGGGCTCCACCCCACGACCACTGGCTTAAAAGGCCAGCGCTCTACCAACTGAGCTAGACGGGTGGTTCCGTGCACACCTTGCAGCAACTTAACAACACCATAGTGGCAACCGTGCGTGGTAAAGACTGTGTGAAGCACGTGCTGCAATACCAGTGCATGTTGCTCAGTGTTCTACGAGTCAGCCTTTACTCGGCTCCTCCGTCCGGGCGGACTCGAACCCACAACGTACGGATTCGATTGATAGAAGCTTAACCACTCCATCACCGTGTTCATTGCAACATCTGACCGACCCAACCGTAACAACAGCACAATACACGCGACTCGAACAACAACGAACAAGCCCACGACTCTGTACTGACAAAGAAATCTCGTATCTCTCTCTTGTTTTGTAGGTATGACAAGCACGTTACTGGCGAGCAGATTCAGACTGACTGGTAGATTTATACTGACCGGCGTGGCAGCGCACGAGTTGAAAGAGGGTGACACCCCCCGTGGGGCTCGAACCCACGACCACTGGCTTAAAAGGCCAGCGCTCTACCAACTGAGCTAGACGGGTGGTTCCGTGCACTCCTTGCAGCAACTTAACAACACTATACTGGCAACCGTGCGTGGTAAAGACTGTGTGAAGCACGTGCTGCAGTACCAGTGCATGTTGCTCAGTGTTCTACGAGTCAGCCTTTACTCGGCTCCTCCGCCCAGACGGACTCGAATCCACAACGTACGGATTCGATTGATAGAAGCTTAACCACTCCATCACCGTGTTCATTGCAACATCTGACCGACCCAACCGTAACAACAGCACAATACGCGCGACTCGAACAACAACGAACAAGCCCACGACTCTGTACTGACAAAGAAATCTCGTATCTCTCTCTTGTTTTGTAGGTATGACAAGCACGTTACTGGCGAGCAGATTCAGACTGACTGGTAGATTTATACTGACCGGCGTGGCAGCGCACGAGTTGAAAGAGGGTGACACCCCCCGTGGGGCTCGAACCCACGACCACTGGCTTAAAAGGCCAGCGCTCTACCAACTGAGCTAGACGGGTGGTTCCGTGCACACCTTGCAGCAACTTAACAACACCATAGTGGCAACCGTGCGTGGTAAAGACTGTGTGAAGCACGTGCTGCAATAGCAGTGCATGTTGCTCAGTGTTCTACGAGTCAGCCTTTACTCGGCTCCTCCGTCCGGGCGGACTCGAATCCACACCGAACGGATTCGATTGAAAGAAGCTTAACCACTCCATCACCGTGTTCATTGCAACATCTGACCGACCCAACCGTAACAACAGCACAATACATAAAACTCGAACAACAACGAACAAGCCCACGACTCTGTACTGACAAAGCAACATCGTGTCTCTCTCTTGTTTTGTAGGTATGACAAGCACGTTACTGGCGGGCAGATTCAGACTGACTGGTAGATTTATACTGACCGGCGTGGCAGCGCACGAGTTGAAAGAGGGTGACACCCCCCGTGGGGCTCGAACCCACGACCACTGGCTTAAAAGGCCAGCGCTCTACCAACTGAGCTAGACGGGTGGTTCCGTGCACACCTTGCAGCAACTTAACAAGACCATAGTGGCAACCGTGCGTGGTAAAGACTGTGTGAAGCACGTGCTGCAATAGCAGTGCATGTTGCTCAGTGTTCTACGAGTCAGCCTTTACTCGGCTCCTCCGTCCGGGCGGACTCGAATCCACACCGAACGGATTCGATTGAAAGAAGCTTAACCACTCCATCACCGTGTTCATTGCAACATCTGACCGACCCAACCGTAACAACAGCACAATACACAAGACTCGAACAACAACGAACAAGCCCACGACTCTGTACTGACAAAGCAACATCGTGTCTCTCTCTTGTTTTGTAGGTATGACAAGCACGTTACTGGCGAGCAGATTCAGACTGACTGGTAGATTTATACTGACCGGCGTGGCAGCGCACGAGATGAAAGAGGGTGACACCCCCCCCCCGTGGGGCTCGAGCCCACGACCACTGGCTTAAAAGGCCAGCGCTCTACCAACTGAGCTAGACGGGTGGTTCCGTGCACTCCTTGCAGCAACTTAACAACACTATACTGGCAACCGTGCGTGGTAAAGACTGTGTGAAGCACGTGCTGCAATAGCAGTGCATGTTGCTCAGTGTTCTACGAGTCAGCCTTTACTCGGCTCCTCCGCCCAGACGGACTCGAATCCACAACGTACGGATTCGATTGATAGAAGCTTAACCACTCCATCACCGTGTTCATTGCAACATCTGACCGACCCAACCGTAACAACAGCACAATACACGCGACTCGAACAACAACGAACAAGCCCACGACTCTGTACTGACAAAGAAATCTCGTATCTCTCTCTTGTTTTGTAGGTATGACAAGCACGTTACTGGCGAGCAGATTCAGACTGACTGGTAGATTTATACTGACCGGCGTGGCAGCGCACGAGTTGAAAGAGGGTGACACCCCCCCGTGGGGCTCGAACCCACGACCACTGGCTTAAAAGGCCAGCGCTCTACCAACTGAGCTAGACGGGTGGTTCCGTGCACTCCTTGCAGCAACTTAACAACACCATAGTGGCAACCGTGCGTGGTAAAGACTGTGTGAAGCACGTGCTGCAATACCAGTGCATGTTGCTCACTGTTCTACGAGTCAGCCTTTACTCGGCTCCTCCGCCCAGAGGGCGGACTCGAATCCACAACGTACGGATTCGATTGAAAGAAGCTTAACCACTCCATCACCGTGTTCATTGCAACATCTGACCGACCCAACCGTAACAACAGCACAATACACGCGACTCGAACAACAACGAACAAGCCCACGACTCTGTACTGACAAAGCAACATCGTGTCTCTCTCTTGTTTTGTAGGTATGACAAGCACGTTACTGGCGGGCAGATTCAGACTGACTGGTAGATTTATACTGACCGGCGTGGCAGCGCACGAGTTGAAAGAGGGTGACACCCCCCGTGGGGCTCCACCCCACGACCACTGGCTTAAAAGGCCAGCGCTCTACCAACTGAGCTAGACGGGTGGTTCCGTGCACACCTTGCAGCAACTTAACAACACTATACTGGCAACCGTGCGTGGTAAAGACTGTGTGAAGCACGTGCTGCAGTACCAGTGCATGTTGCTCAGTGTTCTACGAGTCAGCCTTTACTCGGCTCCTCCGTCCGGGCGGACTCGAATCCACAACGTACGGATTCGATTGATAGAAGCTTAACCACTCCATCACCGTGTTCATTGCAACATCTGACCGACCCAACCGTAACAACAGCACAATACGCGCGACTCGAACAACAACGAACAAGCCCACGACTCTGTACTGACAAAGAAATCTCGTATCTCTCTCTTGTTTTGTAGGTATGACAAGCACGTTACTGGCGAGCAGATTCAGACTGACTGGTAGATTTATACTGACCGGCGTGGCAGCGCACGAGTTGAAAGAGGGTGACACCCCCGTGGGGCTCCACCCCACGACCACTGGCTTAAAAGGCCAGCGCTCTACCAACTGAGCTAGACGGGTGGTTCCGTGCACTCCTTGCAGCAACTTAACAACACTATACTGGCAACCGTGCGTGGTAAAGACTGTGTGAAGCACGTGCTGCAATAGCAGTGCATGTTGCTCACCTTTCCGCGAGCCAGCCTTTACTCAGCTCCTCCGTTTGGGCAGACTCGAAGCTACAACATACGGATTCGATCAACAGAAGCTTAACTACTCCACCACCGTGTCCATTGCAACATCTGGCCGACCCAACCAAAACAACAGCACAATACACGCGACTCGAACAACAACGAACAAGCCCACGACTCTGTACTGACAAAGCAACATCGTGCCTCTCTCTTGTTTTGTAGGTATGACAAGCACGTTACTGGCGGGCAGATTCAGACTGACTGGTAGATTTATACTGACCGGCGTGGCAGCGCACGAGTTGAAAGAGGGTGACCCCCCCGTTGGCTCAAACGCACGACCACTGGCTTAAAAGGAGCACTCCATGACCAACTCTCGTTTTTCTTTAGCAGACGAGAGATATGTACGGTCACTCGGCGTAGTCGCCCGAGTACTTGCGCAAGTACGCCGCTAATTTAATGAACTTACGAAGTCCCTTGACGTCGATTGGCACAGGCCATTTGCTAATCGCTTTGATCTTTTCCGGATCAGGGCGTACGCCGTTTTTACCCACGATGCAGCCAAGAAATGGTATTTCGTTCGCTGCGAAAAAACACTTCTTGAGGTTCGCGAACAACTTTTGCTCTCGCATTAGTGTAAATGCCTTCCGGACGTGGATTCTATGAACCCCCACGTCCGTCTTTTTATTCATAGCCCGGCTATGGACGAAGCCATCGTCGGCGTAACTTAGTACAAAATATCGCACCGATCGCAACAGATTCGTAACACATCTGTTGAACGTTGTAGGGGCGTTACTTATCCCCTGTGGAGTCTATAGCCACACCCAGAGCATACCAATGGGGGTGCTCACTGCTTTGTACGGGATGTCCCGCTCACGCATGAGGATCTGATAGAAGCCCTCCATCAGATCCATGGACGAGAAGATGGTATTTTTTGCCATACCATCTATGATGACATCTTTCCTTGGTATCGGCTTCTGAGCCGGTACCATTGCAGCGTTCAATTTGTAAAAATGAGTGCACTATCCGCCCGCTCCTGTGGCCTTTCGCACACAGAAGATCGGAGAGCTGTGTGGGGATGTTGATTCCCTCACATGACCAGCAGCTAAGCGATCGGCAAAGATTTTGTCGATCAATGTGACCTGTTCACGTGGCAGTGGCCACTGCTTCATGACACAGTATATCGAACCAGGTTTCAGTTCGATCTCATGCCGAGTGCCTTTGTTCTTAGGCAGCTCGCATGGCACGGATTCAGGGAAAACATCTCTGAATTCAACTAAATCCTTACAAATAAAATGTCTTCAAAGACTCCCAAAATTGAGACGTGTATCGCTCGATTCGGGTCTTCTCATCAAGGACACTCTCATCCATCGATGAGCTACTGAGAAACCGTGCGTTCTCAGCAAACACTTGTGCCAACCAAATATCGGCGACGTACTCGTCCTCTGTGACTAGTACACAGATCTGCTTCATCTTGTTACTACGAAGATCTCGCAAGAATCTTTTAGATTCTAGCGTTGGCAACTTGTATACCTAAGAATCTGACTTCAGAGGTGCAACCAAATCAAGAGTGTAAGCGCCTACACTTGATCCGTCATTCACCATGACAGTCAAGGTCTCGGTGATTTCCTGGAAAGACACATCCGCAGGTGGTTAAGGATCCACACCCTCAACATAATTCTCTCGGGCGTTATCACTCTCAGGAACGCTGGAGCTTTCTTTCACTACGTGTTCTGACTGTGGGTGCACTACCACAGTCACATCCTCTTCGATCGACTCTCTTTCAGTCGATCGGGTTTGCTCTACGATCGACTTTCAAATAGTCGCTTCAACGTGTTATTCATCCTAAACAACACTAATTTCTCTTCTTGGATGCATTACTCTTGGTGTGCATCCGTGTTCAGGTCCACTTGATCTCTTCGAGTGGTGAACCTTCGGCGCAGCCTGTGTCTCTACATAGGTGCCGGAAGCTGGTTCCACAGAGTAGTGGCCTATTACACTGGTATCTTGTCCAGACACGACCGTACCACAAGTGAGTCCATCGCACTCACACGCAGTACTCCACTCGCTTGTGGACGCTCAAGACGTAAACCGATGGCCATCTGATGAACAAACATCAGGCATCTTCGCGGATCGATGCTGCCAGATGATCCATGGCTGGTATTTTCTAAGCCATGGCAGACCGAGCATGACATCAAAATTGTCATTTAAATCTAGTACGATAAATTCATCATCGTACTGCTTTCCTTCCAGCGTGTAGTGGATTCCTACTACACGTTTGTTTACTGTAACAGATGCGCCTGTAGCAAGGCACACCATCATACTCGTCGTAAGGAACTCTCGCTCAACATAGTTGAGCCTACTATCCCGTAGCGACTGGCGTCGAATAAAACTGTTCGACGCTCCACAGTCAACTAGGGCGCGAAGTGACACACCACTTGTCACTTCAATCTTCAATGTAATGAGGGACACCTCATGACTAGGGGCAGTAACACACAGCGACTTTGTGTTTGGAGCAATCTTCGTCAATAGCCCTGTACATTCTCTTGACGTGGCTGGATCAGCAGGGTGCTCCGCCCCTACTGACCCTGTTCGTTTTTTGGCGGTCCGACTTGCTGTCGCGATATAGCGACATGGTCGGACCCACACCTTAGACCTTTTTCTGGCTTATGGTAGTCATCATGTCCTGTCTTTGAACGTGTTGCAGTGCTCGGGACGCTACACGCATAGGCGTAGTGTCCAATCTTCTGACAGCGATGGCATCTTTCCGCTCGCTTGTGACTCAGAGAGCGAGAGTTCACGCTCTCGATGTAACAGAGGTCCATAGGTTTGGGACATCCTGCTTATTGTCGTCTGGCGGGACGACAGTTTGACGAGTTAGCCTGAGACTGTCTCAGGCTGAAGTCTTCTTGTTGCGCATACGCTATCGCCTTTTTCAGCGTATGGAAGTCCTCTAAAAACACGTAGGTCTTCACCGGCCCATATACAAGGCCGTAGATGAACACCTTGATGAGCGTGTGCTCATCAACAGGGTTTTTCGTGACGATAGTCTTAAGGTAGCGTAGGTGTTGTGCGTAGGCAAGCACGTCACTCTTACCTTGCTTGAGCCATAAGAGTGCAGAGCGTTCTCTGAACTCGGCTCTCGGCGGCTTAAATGTCTCTTTAAGCCGATTCTTCAAGATCTTCAACGACTCAAAAACGCTTAATTCGTGAAGCTTGATCCCTAAGGCCCAAGTCTTTGCTCGTCCTGTCAAATTTGACAGGACGAAGGTGACTTGCATCTCGTCACCCTCGATGTGACGGGTCCTGATGGCATCGTCTTACTCGACGAACCATCTTAAAAGGGAAACTTCATCGATTCCCTTGTACCTTGAGTTATCAATCTTCAAGGTCTCGGGTCGACGCATGTGCGTCGGCCCGCCCATCGACTGATGAGAGCCTTGCTGTTGTAGCAAAGCTATCTTCCGTCTTAAACGGAAGTTCTCCTTGTAGGAACTTGTTGATAGCAGCATGTTTCTGGTCTCTGCTTTAAGACTCCAACATACCACTGATGGCGGGTTCGCCCACGAGCACACTCATTGGGGTTGACTACTTCCCATTCTGAGTCACTATGATGGGAGTAGCCTTCACGTGTAACGTGAAAGCTATAGTCTTTTACGTCCAACATGTTTATGTTGGATGGACACTAAGTAGTTGTTGGACGGACTAAGAAATTGCTACTAGTTGTAACGGGGAACCCTTTGTTTGGGGTGCCGCAAAACTTCACGTACACTAGTAAGTGCAGAGGAAGCTAATTTACTCAACAACTAAGTCGAGTAAAGGGTAGAAAGAGAGCTATAGTTAATAAAGTTAATATGAAAACATAATTTCAGTCTTTATCGAGCTTCATTAAATTACGTTGTCGTATGACAACAACCTGCTCACCACTCATTACGATCGTCAAGCAGCGATTGGTGGTAACCTTGGTTGATGAGTCTTTATCAACCAATCTTTGAGCAGCGCATGAACATCATTCTTAAAGGGGATGACACTCCTTCAATGTTATCCATCTCAAATTAAATTGGTCGGGCATTGTTACGCTAGACAATCTACCTATTGACACCGTTTGGTGTCAAAATCATGTAATGGACCACCCCTTTACAAGGCTTCTCCACCCCAACACAATCTTCCGGCTCTTACGGTCTCGGTTGGGTGCTCACTGCATGACGCAATGGAGAAAGGGGTAACGGCAAGGACACTTGCTAGATAATCTCGAGACTCTTCGACAACTTGACGATATATACCCAAAGACTCTTCCGTTTTGCAGCTTCGTGCCACCGATGGCGTCGTTGCGACATTGGCGGGTGCGCTGGCGACCCTTTGCTAAAGTTACCTCAGAACCGACATCCTGGAGCGACATTAATGTTTTACAGTGAACACATACGGAATCAAGCAGCACGGACATCTCCTCATTTAGAATTTGCTCTCCATCACTCAGTTTCGTGTCTCCAAGAAACCAAGATCGGCGACGCCACCCTGCTTTCGACCTCCATGTTCCATCTTGACTCAAACTATCAACACAAGGTCTTTGTCAATGAACCCGATTTCTATCTCCGCCGGCCGATGCGGGGGACGATCAACGGGGTGGTTACTGTGCTCCGCTCTGACCTTCCGCGTTTCGACTCAGCGGCTGAAGTCACCCATCTCACAGTCGATGGGCGCTATCTTGTCGTGCGCGTGATTGTTGAAGGTTTGCCACAATACCTTCACAACGTGTACGCACCAGTGGATCGCCAGGAGAAACACAAGTTCTTCTCGAGTTTGGCAACGAATGAATTTGTAATCCGAGCAACCCATCTTGGGCTGGGGGATCTCAGTACATCCCTGGACCCCGACTCGACCCGTCGACTCTGGACCTGTGTTATGACCTAGGTCGGTCCAACTGCCTTGAATGGATGGCCAAGCTTGGTGTTGTTGACGCTTGGCGGATCTACTTCGCAACTAAGCGAATTTTCTCAGGTATACTGCTCCGCAAGAACCGTCTGAATTACATTTCGATGTCGGAGTCCTTCTCGAACCATTTTTAAGAAAACGCTCGGTATTCGCTTCCCCAACATGCCGACGCCTCCAAGACGCTCATACTGATGAGAAGGATCGGACATCTCTTGATTTTGCCGCTGGCTGGTCGATCGAAAGTTCGTGTGCTGATGACCCTGAACACGTTAATGCCGCCATGCTGTATGAACACAATTTTGACTCGCACGAGCCGTAATAACCAAGATGCTGCATTTGATTTCCTAACCTCAGATTACAGAAAACTATCAAATTTTACAATCTGCTTCAAACGTGTTTCCATTTTAAAGTAGTGAAGGTGAATCAGTTGCTTTCGGCGAACACCAAGTGCATGTTCTAAATATTTTTGGAACGCTGGGGGTCTGAGCTGGGAGATCCCAAAATTTTGACTGTCCGGGCTCCTATTACAGATGCTTAATTACAAAAGAGGCTTTTTGTCACAGTAGTTCTGTCTATGTCTTCCCTAGACCGCGACATGTCATCGCCATAATAATTGTTGAGGACTTGGCAGCCACCATCCGCCACGCGCGCGACTTCGACACCTGGACTAGACCTTTTAACTGCTGGTTCCTGCTAGGCCTATCCGGATGCCTTCGACGAGTGCCTAAGTATCGTTTTTCGAGTATTTCTCCACCGAGAATCGCTTCCCTGTAACGGGGTGAATCGTTACATAACAATTTATAAGAAATTGTTAATAGAATATAACTATAAGAGTTATATTCTCAGAATATTGTCATAAGGACAAATATTCTGTTGCACTTACAAGTAGTTCCTAATTGGTTGATATAGGCCATTATATCAACCAACGAAGACGCGCCACGACAGACGCACGCAATGAGTGGTGAGCAGATAACTGATTTACACATTTGTATTTAGACATAGTTAGATGAAGATAAATAGTGACTTATTGCAGACATTAACTATTATAAATACAGTTCTACTTTTTACTTTAACCAAGTACTCGCTTCTTCTTACCGTCTTCCTCTGCACGTACGAGTGTACGTGAAGTTACGAGGCACCGCCTTATTCTGTCATCAGAATAAGTAGCTTGTACTGTCACCATTACAAGCTTCAGGGTGCCCCGTTACACCTGGTAGCACTTCGTAGTCCGTCCAAGGACCGCGTTCACATCCAACATGAATATGTTGGATAATGAAGATGACCAAAGCTTTCACGCTACGCGTGACGGCTACTCCCATTTGAGCGATGTCGAATGGGATGCGGTTGAACGAATGGGTTCGACCATGGGCATCCATGCTGTTAGCGTCATGCTAGAGGCTCTCAACAGAGATGCTCAACATGCTACTATCGCCAAGTTTATTCAAAATGAACTTGACGCTGAACGCGAGAAAGTAGCCTTGCTTCACCAACAAGGTTCTCAACAAGCAGAGTTGTTGAGAGAACAGGGTGCTCAACAGTTTGAACTGTTGAGACAGCAGCAGGCTGCTGCTGGCGGGTCGATGCACTCGCGTCGACCCGAGACTTTGAAGATTGACATCTCCAAGTATAGGGGGGTCGAAGAAGACTCCCTCTTGAGATGGTTCGTCGAATTGGATGACGCCATAAGGGCGCGTCGCATCGACGACGGGGATATGCAAGTTGCATTTGCCCAATCAAATCTGGCAGGACGTGCCAAGACTTGGGCTTTGGGGCTCAAGTTGCACGACCCATATGCGTTTGGGTCGTTGGAAGTCTTTAAGTCGCGGCTCAGACAAACGTTTGAACCGCCTAGAGCTGAGTTCAGGGCTCGAACCGAACTCTTGAAGCTCAAGCAGGGCAAGCGTGATGTGCACGCTTACGCTCAACATATACGACATCTCACGAGTTGTATAAGTTCCAATCCGGTGGATGAACACACGTTGGTTTCGGTGTTCATGCAGGGTCTTGCGGATGGTCTCGTCAAGACTCACCTGTTCCGGCTTGAACTAGATTCACTAGAACAAGCCATTTCCATTGCGGAGCAGGAAGACTTCAGTCTGAGACAGGCTCGCGCCAGCTCGACATCATATCGTCAACCGAGACGATATGACAACGAAGGTCCAGAGCCGATGGAACTCTGTTATGTAAAGAGCGAGAAGGCTCGCTCTACAGGCTACAAGAAGTTGCAGAGATGCAACAGATGTCAAAAGACAGGACACTACGCTTACGAGTGTAGTGCCCCTCGTCCAGTGTCTCGCAACACTGGGCGTAGTGACCGTCCACCCATGAGAAAGGGGCAGGGACGAGGGTCCGCAGTTGGTGCAAAGACGCAACAACGGGACGGACCGTCAAAAAACGGACAGGATCAGTAGGTGCGGAGCACCCTACTGGTCTAGCAACGTCAAGAGAATTTGTAGGCCTCTTGATGAAAGCTGCTCCCAACACACAAACGTTGTGCGTTGCTGCTCTAGGTAATGAGGTCTCACTCATTACCTTGAAACTCGAAGTGACGAATAAGTTGTCCCTTCGAGCTCTAGTCGATTGTGGGGCGTCCAACAATTTTGTGCGACGCCAATCGCTAGAAGATGGTCACTTTAAATTCAGTGAATGTGTCACACCTCCTACGAGGATGACGGTACGTCTTGCGACAGGCGCATCCGTAACCGTCATGAAGCGTATAGTGAAGATCCACTATACGCTAGAAGATACCCAATATGACGATGACTTTATCGTATTGGATTTGGATGACAAATTTGATGTCATCTTTGGAATACCGTGGCTCAGAAGGTACGAACCACGGGTAAACTGGCAACATCGGACAGTAACGATGCCTGCCGCTTGTTCATCAGATGGCCATCTGATGAACGTTTTGGAGCGTCCACAAGCGTGTGGATGTACTACGAGTGAGTGAGATGGCCTCACTTGTGGTACGGTCGTTAGTACGACTACACAAAACCTTAGTGTACCAAACGGCTACACTTCGGAGCAAAGTTCCGGCGGCTGTGAGGAAACACAGGCTGCGCCGAAGGTCCACCACTCGAATAAGTCGGGTGGACTGGGACAAAGATGTATCCCTAGCGGGGAACATCTAGAAGAGAAACAATCGATCGCTCAGGTTAAGCGAAACGATAATCCTAGATCGACTGGAGAGTCTTTCGTAGAGGATCTCGCTGTGGTTGCGCAACCCCAGCTAGAGGAAGTAAAGGGAATAAGTCCCAAGATTACAAATACGGCGGAAATAAGTTCCCCGAAACCCGCGGGAATAAGTCCTTCGAAGCCTGAGGGAATAAGTCCCCAGGAAATGACAGAGACATTGAATGTCATAGTCAATAACGGATCAAGTGTAGGCGCTTATACACTTGATCTGATTGCGCCTCCGAAGTTAACTTCGGAGATCACTCAGTTGCCAACGCTCGAACACAAAGGTTCTTGCGTGATCTGCGTAGTGGCAAAGTCAAGCAGATCTGCATACTCGTCGCTGACGACGAGTGTGTAACCGACATAAGGTCAGCAACAGTGTTTACAGAGAACGAGAGAGTTCTCAGTAGTTCATCTATGGACGAGAGTGTCCTAGATGAAAAGACACGAATTGAACGATATGACTCCCAATCATGGGAATGGCTCAAGAAAAATCCTCTCTATGAAGATTTGGTTGAATTCAAGGATGTATTCCCTGAAACTGTTCCGTGCGAATTACCGAAGGATAAAGGTATTCGACACGAGGTCGAGCTTAAACCAGGCTCGAAGTACTGTGTCATGAAGCAGTGGCCACTGCCTCGTAAACAAGTACTTGCGATCGACAAGTTCTTTGCCGATCGTTTAGCTGCGGGCCATATGAGGGAATCAACTTCCCCACATAGCTCTCCGACCTTCTGTGTGCGAAAAGCAACAGGAGGGTGGCGGATAGTGCACGCGTTCAACAAATTGAACGCTGCAACGGTACCGGCCGAGACGCCGATACCGAGGAAGGACGTAATCATTGATGGTATGTCAAAGAGTACCATATTTTCATCCATGGATTTGATGGATGGCTTCTATCAAATCCTTATGCGGGAACGGGATATACCCTATACCGCAGTTAGCACGCCTAGCGGCATGCTCTGGGAATGGCTAGTAATGCCACAAGGGCTCAGTAATGCCCCTGCCACGTTCAACAGATGTGTATCACATCTGTTGAGACCAGTACGAGAATTCGCGCCGAGTTATTTCGATGACGCATTCATCCATAGTCGAGCTATGGATGGAAAGTCGGACGTTGAGGTTCACAGGTACCACGTCCGACAGGTTCTTACAATCATGCGAAAGCATCAATTGTATGCTAACCTCAAGAAGTGTATATTTGCAGCAAGCGAAATACCACTTCTTGGGTGCATCGTTGGTAAGAACGGTGTACGTCCTGATCCCGAAAAGATCAAGGCGATCACCGACTGGCCTGTGCCGGTTGATGTCAAAGGTCTTCGAAAATTCCTTGGGCTAGCGGCGTATTTGCATAAGTATTCACGCAATCACGCCGAGATGACTGTGCACCTCTCTCGTTTGTTGAAAAAGAACGAGAGGTGGTTATGGAACGCTGAATGTCAGCGCTCCTTTGAGGGTATCAAGCAGAGCTTGATACAATCCCCAGTCCTAGCAATAGCCGATCAGGACAGGCCATTTCATGTGGTCTGTGATGCCAGCGATTTCGCAATCGGCTGTGCATTAATGCAGTACGATCTTGAAGGCGTTGAACGCGTCGTCTGCTATCAGTCGCGTCAGCTGCAACCAGCTGAGCGGAACTATCCAGTGCATGACAAGGAACTCCTTGCCATGAAGTATGCACTCGCGAAGTTCAGAGTCTATCTATTAGGAGATAGACCCTTCGTTGTTTACACTGACCATGCGTCATTACGCACGGCAGTGAACAGCCCGCACCTTTCACAACGAATGGCGCGGTGGTTGTC